AAAAAAAAAAAAAGTACTTAACATTAAAAAAAAAAAATAGACCTACGGCCATTTGTCACTTAGAAAAGAAATTAAAAATACTTTTTTTACTTTAACCACATGTGTGTATTACTACTGTTACTACATGATGCTGTCAAGTTGATTCTAACTCATAGCGGTGTGTGTGTTTCAGAGTAGAACTGCTCCATGTGGTTTTCAATGGCTGTGACCTCTCAGAAATAGATTTCCAGGCCTTTCTTCCAAAGCACCTCTGGGTGGATTCAAACCACTAACCTTTCACTTAGTAGTTGAGTGCTTAACCATTTGTGGCAACTGGGACTCCACAAATGTGTATAAAGCACTTCAAAGTAGCTATGAGGATAAGGTAGCCAAGAGGCAGCATATATGAAATGTAAGAACTCAAAAGTAAAGATAATAATGGATAAACAGAGAAGGCTTGATGAAGAAATGAGAGCCAATAATGCCTTGAAGAAAGCATAAAACTTGAATAGACAATGGAAGAGAGAGAATAGACCTTGTTTATTGGCAGGGGCAATAAAGTGAACAAAGCAAATAGGTAGTGTAAGGGATGTGCTTAGAGAGAAATAGTGAAACAGTCTGGGGACTCGGGTTTATACTCTATGGAATAGTTGAAATTGGTTAGAAGAAGACCTTAATGATAATACAGAAAGTTAGAACTCCCTCCTGTGAGAGACAGGGAATCATCAACATTTGTTGGGCTGTGGAAAGATGCTCAACAGCACTGTTTTAGAAATACAGATTGGGCAATGCTTTACAAGATGACTTGTGTGTTGTAGGAATTTGTGAAGAATGTTGGGAATAGAAATAGGTGAGTCTGAGTGCTGTCTCGAAGAACCACTAAGAAGGTTAACATAAGTTGCATGCAAGAAGCAATTATGACGCAGAGGACTAACGTGGCTGAAATAGAAATAAAGCTAAAAGTATGTAAAGAATAAAGAATCAATGGTTCATGATCATTAAGTGGTTACAGTGTAGGAAAGGCCATAGTGGAATCAATGATGACTTATCCCCAAGAAGGAGCCGTGGTGACACAGTGGTTAAGAGCTCAGCTGCTAACCAAAAGGTTGGTAGTTTGAACCCACCAGCCACTCTCTACTCTGTTCTGTAGGGTTGCTCTGAGTCAGAATCGACTCGACAGCAAAGGTTTTTTTTTTTTTAATTTCCAAGAAAGTGGGAACTCAGGAAAGAACAAGTTAAAGTCAAGTTTAAACTTTGACTTCAAATGTATGCCCTGTAATCACAACAATCTTAGACCATCTAGCTTATTATGACTAGAAATTAACACTGTTGTTCAGGACCCGAAGTGTTATCCACTCCCAAGTTATCAAAGATTGATTATGTTCCCTACACTGATCAGTAAGTATAGAGACAAAAAAGTTACAGTTTTAAATTTTGGAGAAAAAAAAATCAACAGGGTAAAAAGTACATTGTAATCTTTATTTCACCAAAAAATAAATCCAAAACCCCACAATCCCCAGCTTTCTGCCTAGTGGTTGTTTCTCAGTTCTTACTTTTTTAAAACCACTGGGAAAACATTTTCAGTGGCTTTATGAGAAGCTAAACAAAGGGAGAGAGATGAAAAGGGCAGTAAAGGCCAGAAGAGGTCTGGAAGAGAAACGAGCTGTGAGAGGTTAGTTTCAGCTTTCCCAGCATGCAAGCTCTAATATCACCAGACCCTGGAAACTTTTACTCAACACAGCACTTCATTCTGATGGCATTTCTAAAGTGCCAAGTCCCCTCTTCTCTTGGCCTACCATTACAACAGTGAAAAATATGTTTTAAATGAGAATCAGCACAAGCAGACACGTCAACATTTTTTACTTCTGGCCCCTTTTCCTTACTTTCCGCATTCTCTTTATTGCTTTCATTGAAACGATTTAAGCTGACGCTCTCCAACAGGCTTGGGAGAGGAACTGAGAGACACATGTGCACTTCTTGAAATACTTAAGAACCCAAGAGCTTAACTAAAGCATAAGAGCACACACTCATCTTAAGGTGGCATGGTTTCTGAAGCCAAGATTGAAAGAGATGTTCTTTCTTTTCAGCGCCAGACTTTAAAGATGTAAACACCCTCTGTTCATGCTGCAGCTGACATGAATGATTAGTGCAGCACAGAAACAGGCCAGCCACAGCAGCGGTGGTGGCGGCCGCAGCAGCTGCACACCTCTCCCAGAGCTGGACTGCATAACTGTGGCCACACAGCCCCTGAACAGGGAAAGGCTGGTGTCTGGCTCCAGAAAAAAGGAGAAGAAACTTAGAACAGCTGACTGCCTCCTGCACCTCCTCTCCTGTATGCTTCCGACAGAAACCAGAATACAGCTTTGTCAATTAAAAAATCTGTTAATCCTTTACTCAAATGCTGAACATTCCCCAAATAACTAAGGCTTTGCAGAGGAAAGGACAACACTTTAAAAATAGCATACAGGAGATGAAAGATGGAAGCTATTCCCAACCCTGTGGTTGCCATTTGCCAGCCCATGGAAATTTTCTTAGCCGGCACTGCCTACCCCCCCTTTTAAGGAGGAAGGGAAGAGGGGGTGACCAACAGCAGTGTTATCCAGAATTCTTGCAGATAGTTATACTCTACTACTGTACTCCACAGTTGGAGGAGGGAAGGTGGAAAAGGTAACATCTGCCTTGTTCTGTGCTACAAAGATATATTAATTATTCCCAAAACAGCCCATGTTACAAATCAATGGCAATAACCCTCCAAAGCAGACCTTCTCTACATATTGGGGTAGATCCACTTTGGTTGCTTAGGAACAGGGACTAGAAAGTGGGGGAAATGTCCTTTAAACGATTAGTCCTTAGCCTTTTCCAATTTCTATAGTCAGTTTCTCTATCAATGATGCAGTTTTACAGTAACAATAAAACCCCTATAGATGCATAAAATATGTGACATGTATCTCTCATTTTTTATCTTTAGGGATAATATATGAGAATAAGTAAACAACTGATTTCCTTGCTAATAATATATATAGAATGATCAATATAGAGCCAGATCTTAACTGCTACAGGGAAAGACTCAGAAGGAAGAAAGGTTTAGTTTAAAAACAAAAATGTTCCCACTATTATTTGCTTATTTGATTTTTCTTATTTTTTCTTCTCATTTCCTTGTTGGTTACTAAGTACAGAGAGGGTTAATTAATAAGTAGCAGATAGAATAAAAAAGAGAGAAGGAAAGGTGCTAGATGTTACTCGCATCAGCTGCTGATTAAATGTGCTTACTATACACGACATTAAAATTATAATAATCTAGTTCCTATTTAGAAAGACATTCCATTTAACTACTTCTATTTTAAAGTAAAGGTAAATTTTTAAATATTTTGATACATAAGCATTTTCTAAAGACATTTCATTTTACCTGTGTTGTATACTTTAACTCCCCCACAACAAAACAATTCAGAAACGGTTTGCTTTCTTTTCTTGAACATAAATTGTATTTTCCCACCATCTGTCACAGATTGTTAATATCTTTGGCTTTTCCCTATGCCACCTTATGATATATTTAGAAAGTGAAGGTGACTCCTATTTCTAGCCAGTGTTAATCAATATGGTTGGAAGCCTCCTAAAAACGATTTACTGTAGATAACCTGATTATCACAATTTTCTCAGCAGGGGAGACGGGCAAGCAAGCACAGGCAGCCAAAACCAAAACCGATGTAACAGAAGCACAGAACAGGCATCTGCAAGGGACTCATTTCAAGGGGTCACAACATGGCCGCTTGATTTGGGTCTGGGCACAGCCGAAAGCCACCTTGGCCCCTCCTCTCAGGATGGTCAACCCCGCTTGTTTAGTTCCCCATCAGTCAAGGTGATCCCTATAGGACCTCCACTCCTTAAGCCCCACCTACTGAGCCCATTCACTGACGGTAATAAACAGATCAATATGAACCTTAAAAAAAAAAAAAAAAGAAGTATAGACAAGCAAGGACACATACAAATCACTCTCGCACAGTTTTGAGCTCATGGTTTCCAAACTCCCTTTTTATCTAAGCCTAAACTGGCCATAAAGCATCAGAGATATATCTGTATTTTTAAAAACATATTAACATACCATCTACCTACCTTTTCGAAAACTAAAACACCGTTTGATTCTTCTGTATGTAGTTTTGGGGATGAAAGGACTTGATGCTAAGGCACCTGGGGGGCGTCCCCCAGTATTTCGGTCTTCAGGCATCATACAGACCCAAAGTTGTGAACCAGTTTCAGGCTTTCTTTACAACCTGGCTCCATGCAATACCCCACAGCCACTCCTTCTCATATTTGTTTATTTGTTAGGCTGAAGCGCTGATTCCTAGAACTCAAAGGTTTGATCGTCCAGGTCCTGAGTTAGGGAAAGATCATCACCTCTCATTTACTCTTTTTTGGCAATAACTTCCTCTTCTCTTGCCTAATCCAGGGAGTTTCTAAGGTATTTTTTAAGTTTCTGCAGACATCTCGGAAAGTCACAGCAAAAAGGATCGCAGCAAGCAAACTACACCTCCCATTCAAACAGCAGGATTGTTATTATTATTATTAAGAACTGTCTTCTCAGCTGGAACTGGGGGGACTGAGATTCCTCTGGAAAGGTCAGCAAACAGCCGTGTGCAGGGGAAAGAGGAACAATGACAAAAAGGCCCCTGAGGAATACTTCAGGACTGTCCTTGCTGGCTCCTTTCATCTGAGTAAAAGGGGAGGAAAATAATGGCACCTTCTCCAGAACGCATTTCAGTGCATGGTAAATTCTTTTCAAAGGACTCCCCTGTTCCTTTTATAGCAACCCTCAACCTTTGATGCTCTCTGCGGGCTTCTCCCTTTTCCCTTCTGTCTTCAAACTCCCAGGGATCCTGAGGGAATAACCACGTCAGAACAGCCGAGTGCCCATTCCAGGAGACTCCTTGGATCTGCCAGGGGAGGCTGCTCTGCAGGGAGCGTCTCCTCCCCCTCCTCTGGCTCCGCTCCCCTTTTCTCAATGAGAGCCAGGCGGGAGTTGGCAGGGCTGCTGCTGCCTCGTCACCACGGCTGTGACTGCGGCTGCATTCAGTGCCCGCCGGTCACATGCAGCAGGTGCAGCCACCACAATACAAGGGTAGGAGGGAGAATGCCACGGCTGCTGTGTAGACTCCGTTCTTCTTGTTTAGACTTTGCGTTGACTTCCCAGCTGTTGTCTCCTGTGCAGCACTTCTACAGCTGACTGGCTCAGCTCCTCCAGAAATCAACAGCCCCAAACCATTCCCAAGGGGTAAACTTTTTACCCTCATCCTGCCTTTATTCTCCTCCTATACAAGATTTAAGAAGCCCTGATGGTGCAGTGGTTAAAGCGCTGGCCTGCTAACCGAAAGGCCAGTGGTTCGAACCTACCAGCCGCTCCAGGGGAGAAAGATGTAGCACTGGCAGTCTGCTTCCATAAAGATCACAGTCTTGGAAACACTATGATCCATGGCAAGGGGTTTGGTTTTGGCTGTGATACAAGATTTACTTTTCTCAGATCCTTTGTTACTGAATTTATTTGTGTGTGCTAATTTAAATGTGCATACCATTAAAACACATACGTGTGTGTACAGTATTTTTATATGCAAATGTACACATGGGTGTGTCTGTAAAACTGAAATATGGTTTAAATCTAGTAACAAAGAGTGCAGGTATAATTACAAAACAATCAGTGTGTGTGTGTGTGTGTGTGTGTGTGTATCCCAAACTTATTGCTGTCCAGTTGATCCCAACTCTTAGCGACCCTATAGGACAGAGTACAACTGCTCCATAGGGTTTCTGAGGAACAGCTGGTGGATTCAAACTGCCGACCTTTTAGTTAGCGGCCGAGCTGTTAACCATACGTACATATATATTTCTCTGGTTTAAAAACCAACACTGTTTTCAATATTCTACCATTCTTTTGTATGCTGACTTTCCACCCCAGCCACCACATCTTCCTAACTCTCGCAACCCCACTTAATGAACAATTTACTCATTTGGTTAATCATTCATTCACCTGGCTATTTCAGGAACAGATTTGGAATGCTACTGCTTTAACCCAACTGACCCCAAGGCCTCCGCGCTTCTTCCTAGCCACTCAGCAGGAACTTTATAAAATTGTGAGGAGTATTAAAAAGGTGCTCCATTAGAATTATCATTACTCTGACTAGTATATCCAGACAGTTAATATATTGTCACCAAAAGGTTCATTATTAGTTATTTCTACTTTCTGGTTCAAACGTTGTTTTTACCTTCTGTGTCAGAGCATACTGCTAGGAAAATAAAGAACCACAAAATTTATCTCAGTACTACCAAAATAGAAGCAGTATTGGCATCAAAGGAACTATAAAACTAAAAAACCAAACATGTTGCCTTCGAGTCCATTCTGACTCACAGCAATTCTATAGGACAGAGGAGAACCTCCCCACAGGGTTTCCAAGGAGAGGCTAGTGGATTCGAACTGCTGACTTTTTGGTTAGCAGCCAAGCTCTTAACCGCTATGCCACCAGGGCCAAAGAGGAACTGTAGCCAACTGAAAAATTCACTGACCTGAGCATTGGTATGGAGGGAACACATGTAATCACAAGATTTGGGGACTAGGAAGAATTTCAGTTAAAACAATTTTGTCCAATTTTCTTATTTCATAAATGCAGAAACTGAAGGCGAAGACATGAGCTACTTATTTGAGATCGCACATCTCATTTGTGTCAGAGGCAAGAAGTAGGTACTTCTTCCACAAGACCACTGTGATTCTTAATCAACTCCTCTGCCCACATGCCAATTATTTATCATAAGGATTTTTCACATATGATACTTTCTTCTACGTCGATGCGTCTCTAACTCAACTCTTCATCAGAAGGCAGAAATACGTAGGAAGAACCTGATTTTGCTATTAGCTAAAATTGGGCTAGGCACGCAAACTTAATGAAAAATTAACGGATTCTCACTCACCCCAGATCCACAGATCCTGGGCTAGTGTACAGAATATATATATACATATATATATATACAATTTTTCTAAAGCTAAATAATGTGATATCCCAACTTTTGGATTTGACTTCCAAAAAGCAACCATATGCCTCTCTATTAGCATAGTAAATAGGAAATCAATTGCCTACTGATGGTTTAAAGCCAAAAGCACAAAGGTGAGGTATCTAGATTCAGTACTGAACTTTGTCATGAGGCCAAAAGGTTAAGAGGGAAGGTATACTTTTTGCATTTCGTTGGTCCCTTTCCCCCAATTGAATATTTGTTTTAAGTTTGCTTTATTTACTAAAAAGTACAAGGCTTATAATTCCAAAGTCCCACATTTTATGAGTTTCACTTAACAGTTTTTGTTTCTAGTACATTGAAGAGCTAGGTAAGCTTCTCAGTTGCCTCTTATATTTTAATGAAATGATCATTACTATAATGGCAAAGAGGAAGTACTTTCATGTATATGCAACTTAAACAAAGAAAATCTTAAATTTCTCATTAAAAAAAAAAAGTTTGAAAACACCGGTTGCAAACTGCCCAGCAGACAATGAAGTGCTCTGCATGGCAGTTTCTATAATAGACACGTTCAAGATGTATCCAAACGAAGGTATTTCAGAGCATAGAAAAATATGGAATACTCCCAAACTCATTCTATGAAGCCAGCATAACCCTAAATTCTAGCTAATAGAATTCAGCAACATATCAAAAAAAAAAAAAAAAAAAATTCATCATGATCAGGTGGGATTTATACCAGGTATGCAGGGATGGTTCACCAGTAGAAAAACAATCAATATAATCCATCACATAAATAAAACAAAAGACAAGAACCACATGATCTTATCAATCGATGCAGAAAAGGCATTTGACAAAGTCCAACACCCATTCATGATAAAAACTCTTAGCAAAATACGAATAGAAGGGAAATTCCTCAATATAATTAAGGGCATTTATACAAAGCCAATAGCCAACATCTTCCTAAATGGAGACAGTTTGAAGGCATTCTCCTTGAGAACGGGAACCAGATAAGGATGCCCTTTATTACCACTCTTATTCAACATTCTGCTGGAGGTACTGGCCAGAGCAATTAGGCTAGAAAAAGAAATAAGGGGCATCCAAACTGGTAAGGAAGAAGTCAAAGTATCTCTATTTGCAGATGACAGAAGGCCCTAAAGAACCCACAAGAAAACTACTGGAACTAATAGAAGATTTCAGCAAAGTTTCAGGATACAAGATAAACATACAAAAATCAGTCGGATTTCTCTACACCAACAAAAAGAACCTTGAAGAGGAAATCACTATATCAGTACCATTTACAATAGCCCCCAAGAAGATAAAGTACTTAGGAATAAATCTAACCAGAGACTTAAAAGACCTATACAATGAAAACTATGAGACACTGCTGCAAGAAACCAAAAGAGACCTGCATGAGTGGAAAAACATACCTTGCTCATGAATAGAAAGACTCAACATTTTGAAAACGTCAATTCTACCCAATGTGATCTACAGATACAACGCAATCCTGATCTAAATTCCAACAGCACTTTTTAATGAGATGGAGAAACAAATCACCAACTTCATATGGAAAGGGAAGAGGCCCCGAATAAGTAAAGCATTACTCAAGGAGAAGAACAAAGTGGGAGGCCTCACACTACCTGATTTTAGAACCTATTATATTGCCACGGTAGTCAAAACAGCCTGGTACTGGTACAACAACAGATAC